ATTGTTGCCTCTGTGTGCAGAAAAGGCACCAGCTATGACCAGCTACAAGGCAGCCTGTGTTTCCAGAAAATGTATTCAGCAGGGATGATGTCAGCTGCTTCACCACTGGCCGGTCTCTGGCCAGCCTCTTCCCTTGGCCCTCGAGCTTACATCATAAAGAGATCGGTGGCTCTTCCAGCCCCATTCTGTGTGGGAAGATGTGAATTTTGCTACTATAGGAATTTTTAGCAGAGGACTGTGTTTGCTGTCCACAGAGCATTCCAACTTAGCAGAGTCCTTCCAAGTAGAGCTGGCCAGCAGACAGCAGGACCGCTTTGATACAGCGGTACAGCAAAGCTGAACAGCACCATGTCTTCCTAACCTTGTGACCGAGGACAAGTGACATGGTCTCTCTGAGTCTCAGTTTCTTTATCTAGGGGCTGTCATGTGGATTAAGTTGATTTTCAAAGAGCAATTAGCAGAGGGCTCTCAGTATTGATCCTGTGGTACATAGTACTAGCTGTAATTACTAATGACAGTAATACAGGCATGCCTCGTTTTATTGTAGTTCACTTTATCGCACTCCACAGATACTGCATCTCTTACAAATTGAAGGTTTGTGGCAATCTTGTGCCAACCAAATCTGTCAGCGTCATTTTTTCCAATGGCACATGCTTACTTCATGTCTCTGTGTCACATTTTGGTAATTCTTACAATATTTCAATTTTTTTCATAATGCCATTGCACGCTTAGTAAACTACCAAACCAGACGAAAACCAACCTCACTGCTTTATAGCAACCCCCATTGGGTTTCCAAGGCTGTAAATCTTTATGGAAGCAGGCTGCCTCATCTTTATTCCATGGAACGGCTGGTAGGTTTGAAGCACTGACCTTTTGGTTAGCAGGCAAATGCCTTAACCACTGCACCACCAGAGCTCCTTAATGAAAAATTACAGTAGAGTGTAAATACAACTTCTGTGTGTACTGGAAAACAAACAAATTTGTGTGACTTGGTTTATTGCAACATTCGCTTTATTGTGGTGATTTGAAGCCGAGCCTGTCTGTAGGAGCTTCAAGGTATGCCTGTAGATGAGTGAGCCAGACACAAATGAACATTTGAACCCATGTTCAAATCCCAGCTCTGGCCCTTGCAAGCTCTGCCTTCTTGGGTAGGTTGCTTAATGGCTGAGCCTTGGTTTCCTCATAGAGTTGTGAGGATTGCTCGGGATGATGGCTTTCAAGTGGGAAGTCTGGTGCTTAGCACATAGTAGGACCTCTGTAATTGTTTGTTTCTGTCTTCCTTTCTTTTCCTTACTTATGTTAACATTCATTTTTTTTGCCCTTTTCCTCACTTACCTAGGTTGGTTCAGGATTCTTCTTAGATGAGTTCCTCATCCTTTATCTTACGATTTTAGAATTTGACACAGTGGCATGGCCTGTTAGATCTCCTTTGGTTGTTTATTGTTTACCAGCAACAAACAAGGGTGTGGACTGTGGTGCAGTCACAGAGCAATAAAGACTGAGCTGGAGAGCCGACTGGGTGGCTGACTGGTAAAAACCCAGCCCCTTAGGCTCAAAGGGTAACTTCCTGGGAGAAAAATCACAGCAGTGTTTAGAAGGGTTAAAAAAAAAAACCCCACTGCCATTGAGTCGATTCCAACTCATAGTGAACCTATAGGGCAGACTAGAACTGCTGCCCCATAGAGTTTCCAAGGCTGTAATCTTTATGGAAGCAGACTGCCCCATCTTTGGGTTCACACTGCTGGCTGGCCTTTTGTTTAGCAGCCCTATACTTTAACCACAGTGCTTTCAGAGCTCCTGTTAAGAGGCTTGAGGTCACTCTATTTAAAATAAATTGCTCTTAAAAAACAGTTTCTAGGGCCAGAGGCAGGATGGAAGCTTCTCTTAGTTAAATAAAAAATGGTGTATGCAGATGGGTCCTCCTCTAGCAAGGAAAGTGATGAGTGTCTTCTCTTGGGTTGCAATGAATTTTTATTTTTTAAGAGAACACGCATAATTTGGTATTAACTAGTCTTTTTGACTTATGTTCTCTATCCCACTCCTCATTTCCCCGCTGCTCTCAGCCCAGGGCCTGGCACAAGGTAGGCTGCATCCATATGTATCACACACGGGAATCTGGGGCAATGGCAGGAGCATGAATTTCAAGACCGAAGGCCAGGCTTGGACTTTTAGTTCCACCTCTGACACCTTGTGCTCCTTACAGCCCATCATGCCATCCGTGGAGCCTCTGGGCCCACTCTCCACTGGGGGCACCAGTGAGAACCCGGAGGCTGGCACCGTAGATGCTCACATCCTCTGCACATTCATCCTACCTATTTTCTCAAGCACCTGCTACGTGCCAGGGTCCGTTAAGCATTCTGGTGAACATGTCAGACGCAGTTCTTGTCTTTGTGGAGCTTAACAGATAATGAGGGAAGACTTGCCCTTGAATGTTATGTAAGTTTGCCCTCACTTTGAAACGATTGAACCAACCCCTACTTGCAATAAATTCTTCACCACAGGGGCCTTCACTTGCTGCACGTGAAGCTTGCGGATCATTGAAAGGCTTCCAGACTTTTCTTGCACTGAAGTTGTTGTTGCTATGTGCCATCAAGTCGGACCTGACTCATAGCGACTCCTCCTTGGATTTCCGATATGCTCCTGTTCTGACTTACCTGGAAATGTGGTTTAAAGATTAGGAGCCATCTTGTTCATAATCCAGGGACTGCCTGTAAATGAATAAAGTTGGTAATTTCAGATTGCGATCTCCAGGATATGAGATCACAAGGGACTCCGAAGGTGTGAGTTATTTTAGCTGGGGTGGCCAGGGAAGGCCTCTGAGGGGTGACATTTGAGCTGAGGCCTGATTGATGAGCGTGAACCAGCTATGGGAAGATTGAGGTACAACGTGCCAGGCAAAAGGAACACTGTATGCAGAGGTCCTGAGCTAGATGTGAGCTTGATGTGTGTTTGAGTTGAGGAACAGACTCAGGGTCCGTGTGGGCGGAGCTTAGAGTGAAGGGAAGTGAGCAGACGTGAGCCACAGTCTGGCCACGGAGAGCCCCTGACCTTGGTCAGGAGGTAGAATTGTGTCCTCAGTGGATTTATGTATTCTCCCTGTGCTCCTCAAGCATATTGGTGCCTGAACCATTGGGCCTCCCTTAGCAGGACAGTGGGGTTGGAGAAGGTGACCTCTCTGTGTTCCTAGTTCTGCACATCCCACCCTCGCCTCATAGTTGCGACCCCTGGGCATCTCCCAGAACCTGGAGAAGCCACTTTTGTGGCTCCTTGAGATGCAGATGCTTTTGTCTGCCTCATGATAGCTGCCAGGAGGTGGACCTTCAGGACATCCCATGCTGAACTCAGATTTGGTGAAGCGTTCCTAGGTCAGTCCCAGTTCCATTGCAGCAGTGCCTTTCTTGGTTCCTTGCTGTCTCCCAGCCAATGGGAGCCCCGTTCACTCAGCCAAGGCTAGTTAGGAAGCACCCACTCTGCCTTGGGCACTGTGCTGAGATTACTTCGCTGGGTAAGATGGTCACCAAGCTGCGGTTGGTGTGGTTAGGAGAGGCAGGACAGGTGACGATGCCATGTCTCCCTCCCCATCAAAGATGTTTACCTCCACTTTGACCTTGCCGCCTTGAGCACGCGTGGCATCTTAGGTGTCACGCCCTTCAAATGACAAGTTTCAAGGGCTTCCTTGGAGCCTGTGCTCTGTGAGGCACCTCCTCTACTTGTAATCCTCATACCAACTCCGGACTATAGGTACTATTTTTATACCCTTTTTCAGATGCAAAAACGGAGGCTCAGAGGGGCTGTGTAACTTACCTCAGGAAGCAGAGCCAGGGTTCACACCTAGGCAGTCTGGCTTCAAATCTTGTATTCACAACCCCAAGGCTGTGTTGCGTCCCCTGGCCCTGGCACTGGCACTGTCCCTCGATGAATCCAGCATTGTGACATCTAGAATATTGCTGGCTCATATGGGTCCTATTAACACAGACTAAACGGACAACAAGATTGTGTAAGTCCTTTGTGACCTGGCTCAGAGCATTCCATCTTCCCCTGACGATGGGAGTATAAAACGGTCTCAGGGTAAAGAGTATCGCGAGCTGGACACAGGAGCTCCAGGGTGCATAGGAGTACTGTCGGGGAAGAGATAGCTTTGTAAAATGTAAATAGGATCATGTCCCTTTCTCCCTAGCTTTCAGGGCTTCAGTGGCATCTCATGGCTATTTGAATGAATTATAAAATTCCACACATGCTCTTGGAGACCTTGAGGGTCAGGATCCTGCTTGTGACTGTAGCTTCATCTCTTGTCCTTCTCGGTGCTCATTCCACATAAGCTATGCCAGCCGCCTTTCTGTTCCCTCGCCAGGCACCTTTCTGCCTGGGAAAGCAGGCTATGGCAGTGTAGCACGCAGACTTTGGTGCCAGACTGCCTGGTATCTGATCTCAGCTCCACCTCTTAATAGTCCGCAACCCTGGGCAAGTTTATGAACATCTCAGTATTGCAGTGTTTCTGTCTATAACGGATACTGCTAATCCCTCTCCCCAGGGTCGTCTAAGACTAAACAAGGTAGTATGCTTAAAGTACCTGCGGTAGGGCCTGGCTCATAGGCCATTCTCTGAAAGTGTTCACTCAGAACCTTGGTCCCTGCTGATCTTCTGCTGGTATACCCTTCAGCCACCTCTTGCCTGGCAAACTCCTCATCCTTTGGGTCTAACTAAAAACCACTGCCCTGGGGAGCCTTTCAGAATTCCCTGTCTCTCTACGAAACTAGCTCAGGTGTCCCTGTGAAACTTTCCTTCAGGAATGTTAACCACAGTTGTCATTTGTGAGCTTGGCAAAGTCAAAGACCTTGGCTGACTTGCTTCCACTCTGTCCTAGTATGGAGCATGTGTTGGGTGAGTGTATTGAATGAATGGGCAGAAGGGGACTGGCCAGTCAGCTCGCTGTTGTGCTCAGCAGTCAGAAGCTGTGACCATTGTGTGAGATGACATACCTCTTCTTTCTGCCCTTCCAGAGCACTCTGCCTTCCCAGGCAGGCAGCTTGTCACTGCTTTCAGCAATGTACCTGCCTCAACGCCAGAAGCCATGGAGGAGATAAGGTAGCCCCCCTCCCCGGACCGGATGGGGAAACCCAGTTCAATGGATACAAAATACAAGGATGACTTATTTCGGAAGTACGTGCAGTTCCACGAGGGCAAAGTGGACGCCCCCCCCAGCAAGCAGAGGCCTGGCAGCGATGAGCACCTGCGGGTGGCGGCCTCGACCCTGCTCAGCCTGCACAAAGTCAGCCCTTTTTATCGATTCCGGATGATCCAGTTCTATGAGGTGGTGGAGCGCTCCCTGCGCTCACTGGGCTCTGCCAGCCTTCGAGCCTTGCACTGCGCCTTTGGCCTGCTAGAGACCCTGGGCGTCAACCTCTTTCTCTACCCATGGAAGAAAGAGTTCAAAAGCATCAAGGTAAGTGCCAGGGAGGTGTTCTCTACGCCTTCTCCCCGCTCCTCCCTCGCCTCCCTGGCCCACCGGCCCTCTGGGCTCCCCGCTGCCTCAGGAAAAACCACCAGAATGACCCCGCCTCCCCAGCTTGCCTGTCTCTTAATCTTAATCGAGATTCCCTTCTCTGGCCACTCACGTCATAGCTGTAAGGTTGGAAAGGTGGGCAGTACCCAGGTTATGTAGGGCCCTGCGGTCCAGGACAGAGGTGTTGCTATGAGTCTGATTGATGGCAGTGAGTTTGGTTTTTGGTTTTGAAGGCGGTGATGGGACCTGATTAACATCTGAAAAGGCTGTTCCTGGCTGTTGGGGTATGGCTATGGAGGGACATGAGTAGGAACAGGGAGGCCAGTGAGGGGGCTGTCGCTGATGTCCAGCAGCTGGGGGGGGGGGCTTAGGCGAAGAGGGAGCAGTGGAGAAAGAAGGAAGACGATGCTCTGAGAGGGACGGAATTCTCGCTGATTCTGATGCAGTGATGATTCACCATGTCGGGCCCTTAAGTCTGCTGTGCTGTTCAGATCTTTCCAGGAATGCCGGAGAGGAACATTCTTGTTCTTCTGGCGTTTGACCCATAATCCACTCCCCTTTGTCCACCTGAGTTTGTCCTGGCTGCCTCATACAAAGCAGAGCCTCTGTGCCCTGTGTCCCTCCACTGATGAAAGGTGCGGGGCTATGATTTCCCGCGCACTAGTGCTCAGAGCTCTCAGGACACATCGGTCCCTGCCTTGTGCAGTGGGGAGCTGGGCGGCCACTCGCTCCCCTCTCCCCACCTGCTCCAGCGTAGCCCCTGTTGTATGTCTCAGAGAGAAAACCCTGCCCCTTTTTTCCCTTTCCTCCTCCTAGACCTACACAGGCCCATTCGTTTATCACGTCAAGTCGACGTTACTGGAAGAGGACATAGGGGCCATCCTGAATTACATGGGCTACGTGCCAGAGTTGGGGACTGTGTACAAGCTCCAAGAGCTGGTGGAGACCCTCCAGGTGAAGATGGTCTCCTTTGAGCTCTTTCTGGCCAAGGTGGAGTGTGAGCAGATGCTGGAAATCCACTCACAAGTGAAGGACAAGGGCTACTCTGAACTGGATGTCGTGAGTGAGCGCAAGACCAGTGCCGAGGATGTGCGGGGCTGCTCAGACGCCCTGCGGTGGCGGGCCGAGGGCAGGGAGCATCTGACAGCCTCGATGGCCCGGGTGGTGCTCCAGAAGTCAGCCAGTGAGCGGGCAGCCAAGGACTACTACAAGCCCCGTGTGACCAAGCCCTCGAGGTCAGTGGACACCTATGACAGCCACTGGGAGAGCAGGAAGCCACCCCTGAAAGCTTCATTGAGTCTGCGGAAGGAGCCTGTGGCAGCAGACTTGGGGGATGACGTCAAGGACGAGATCATCCGCCCGTCCCCCTCGCTCCTGACCATGTCCAGCTCCCCACATGGCAGCCCGGATGACCTGCTGGCTCCCTCTCCCAGTAACGGCCTTGGCCTGCTGCGCAGTACATACTTCTCCACTCAGGATGACGTGGACCTGTACACAGATTCAGAACCGAGGGCCACGTACCGCAGGCAGGATGCCCTGCGGCCGGATGTGTGGCTGGTCAGAAACGACGCCCACCCCCTCTACCACAAGCGTACGACCCCCGCCAAAGAGTCTGCCCTTTCCAAGTGCCAAAACTGTGGTCTGTCATGCGGCTCCACCCTCTGCCAGCGCTGCGACAGCCTGCTTGCCTTCCCTCCGGCCTCCAAGCCTAGCGCCATCCCCAGCAAGGCCTCCACCCACGACAGCCTGGCCCACGGGCCATCTCTGCGGGAGAAGTACGTGAGCCAGAGTCAGGGCCTTGACCGGCTGCCGCACCTGCACTCAAAGTCAAAGCCCTCTGCCATGGCCACCTCCCGCTGTGGATTCTGTAACCGCTCGGGCGCCACCAACACCTGCACCCAGTGTTCAAAAGTCTCCTGTGATGCCTGTCTCAGCGCCTACCATTACGACCCCTGCTGCAAAAAGAACGAGCTGCACAAGTTCATGCCCAACAACCAGCTGAACTACAAGTCCACCCAGTTCTCCCATCTTGTGTACAGATAGACTTGACCTTGCACTTCTGCTACAAGGGCTACACCACTGACCGTTCTGGTTCCACGGTGAAGAGTATGAATGCATTGATCTTGGAAGCAGGGGCCTGCACTTGAGCATGTAGGTGCCGGGGGTTCGCGGAGCTGGCTGCACCACAGGGAGGTTCACTCAGCCACCATTGACTCGTGTTTCAACTGATGGCTGCTTTGTCGTTTGACAAGGGAGAGGGTGGCGCTTCCGTTTAGATTCATTTTGCTAATCTCTCCACTCCCTGTTCAGTTGTGTTTCTTTGAAGAGGATTGCTGTCTCTGGGACTCTTCTCATCTCTCCTCCATTCACCGTGAAGACACCTTGGACTGGGAATGGCACTTCCAAATGCCCACCTGGAGTGGTGAGCTAGAGGCCTGTTGGCTTGTGAAATGAGCCCTCCTGCCATACTGGGACCTCTTCCAGTGGCTCATCCCTTCTCTGCCCCGTCTCCAAGACAAGCCTCCCCACCTGGACTCCCTGCTTCCTGGCCTCGCTTGCCTGTCCGGGCTTGAAAGGCCACATTGAGTCCAGTATTAGGTGAATGTCAGCCTGTTGCCAAGTGCAGCTCATGTTTGCCCCCAGTGTTCGTGACCTTCCCTCCAAAGCTGTGCCGTTCTGGTTCCAGCTGTGTGGACCTTCCACAGCAGGGTGGGCTCTTATCCTTTCTGTTGTTTGCACATGCCCCTATTACTGTACTGTAAATAGATATTTTTAAGATTTATTTTTAAATAAATATACAACTTGTCGCGTGTTTCAAAGTGGTTTAGAAAATTAATTATGTAGCTATTTATAAAGACACCCCTGGGTTCTTCTGTCTTCCGAGGGAGGGTCTCATGTTTGTATTGTAGCCTCCACTCACCACAGCCCAGGTGAAGTGCAGAGTCTGGGGGCAGAGGAGGACCTGAGACAATGTCCCTTTTTCTTGTGTTGGTGGAGGCCACTCTGTCTTCCCTACAGTAACTGTCTATATACCTACCTCCAGCATGCACGTAGGGTGCGTGCGGGCGTAGAGGTGAGGCCGTGTGCCTGCTGACTAGTGACGGTCAGGGGCCTCACCCTCGGGATCTACAGCCCTGGTCACTGGCGCTTGCGGAACGTGAACCTCACGCTCCAAACTTCTTGAGTCTTGTTTCAGAAGGAAAATGATTTGGGATTCCCTTCATCCCTCCGTCCCCGTCCTCCTCTCCTCACCTGTTTCTGGGACTCATCTGCAACAACACTGCGATCTTTCTGCACTAGAAATAGGCAGGGGTCAGCGTGCACCCATTAGACAAACATCTCTGACACTCAGCTGAGCCTAAGACAGCCTCCCAACTCCTTATGTGAATTACTGACCCCTGCAGGGCAGGAGTGGGGCGAGAGTGTGAAAAGAGGACAGCATCATTGTGAACTAAGAAAACAAGATATTTTAGCTCTAAGTGTCTGCGTTGTACAGCATCTCACGGGAACTTGCACGCAGAGAGCTTTCCAGTGGAACGAGGGATTACCCTGCTCTGGAGCAAATGGGAACCTGGTGGAATCCTGAGGCCGCTGTAATTTGCTGATGTGCTCCCGACTCAGCTGAGTGAGTTTACGGTTTTTCAAATCTTATATGGCTCTTTTTTAAACATCTGGTAGATCACATGTAGGCGGCCTGGCGGTACAGTGGTGAAAGCACTCAACTGCTAACTGACAGGTCAGTGGTTTGAACCCACCAGCCGCTCCGTGGGAGAAAGATGTGGCAGTCTGCTTTTGTACAGATTGCAGCCTTGGAAACCTGGGCAGTTCTACTCTGTCCTTCTGAGTTGCTATGAGTCCGAGTCCACTTGATGCCATCGGGACAGGTAGCTCACGTGTAGATATACAATGTGTACATAAAGCTGAATCTCAATCACCTTTGTTAGAAGACCAGCCCATTCGGGGCTTTCCTCTCTGATGCTCTAGCTTTTCACGTTTCAGAAACGTCAGTGCCTGTTCCGCTCCTGCGAGCTCTAGTTTTCTAGCTCTCCATTTCTAGTTTGTTCCTGCTGCACTACAGTAACTCTCCCGACCAACCATGACGCCACGTCACTTACACAGTGAACACACACAGGAGTGGGAACTCATGCTGGGAGCAAAAGTCCTGTGGCTGTAGATAGCATCATGCAAGGACTGTTCATGGACCGGGATGGGAGCTGCCGCGACCCTGTCCCTTCTTGGTGTGTATCTTACTGTACGAGGTTGCTGTGATTGAGGTAGTTAAGTATGTGATAATTTTAAAATGCAAATGTTTTGCATTTGATTTCTATCAATGCTTGAAATATCGAGAGATGATTAAAAAGATAATAAAGTGTCTTCCATTGTTAAGTATGTGTGTGGAGTTTTATGTCCCCTCCCTGCCTCCGTCAAGCCTGGATTGCACAGGCTCTTTGGTTATTTTCCATTCAGCCTCATTAGTTCTTTAATCACTTATTTCTACTCTGCGAAACTGGCAAATGCTGTGCCAGGTGCTATGCGTGCTGATACTGTACAGATGCCCGACTGCACGTGGCTGAACAGCCACACTGTAAGGCAGGAAAGGAGCCCTGCTGGTGCGGCAGTAAAGCACTTGGCTGCTAAGCGAAAGATGGGTGGTTTGAACCCACACAGCAGCTCTGCGGGAGAGAGACGGCCATCTGCTCCCGTAACAATTACAACCAAGAAAACTGGGGGGCAGTTCTGGCCCGTCACATGGGGCTACCCAGTAGCAATAGCATGAGGTGGATGCTGTTGCCACCCCCCTCTTGCAGACGAGGAAAAGGCAGAGTCCCACCGTGTTTCCTGGAAGTGAGGCTGCCTGCTCCAGAGAAGGGGCTCGGTGGCGGTGAATAACATCATAGGAAGATTAATTCCACCTTTAATTCCTTGGGTCCATTTCAGGGCCTCAAGGAGGGGGTCTCAGGTAATGCTCCCTAGCGAAGGGAGAGTGGGTGTCAGGCTTCAAGCCTTTGGTGCAGAAGTTTAGCTGCCTTCTGTTTAGGGCGAGCTGGGCTGTGTTTCCATTGCAGTAGTGTGAGGAGAGGGGATTGCTTTTTTTTTTGTTTTTTAATTGTGATTTGGGTGAAAATTTACAGAGCAAATTCACTTTCCATACAACAAGAAACAGAATCAAGACTTTGTCTCATGACATTGACTACAATTTTCCACAATGCAACAGATCCCCTTCCACTTCCTCTTGATAATTACCTCTTCCCTGTGTCCATCCCTTCATGCACTCCTGTCCCCTGAGCCGTCTCCCTGTGCCTAAACAGCCCTTTCTCCCATGATTCATCTCTCCAAGGAGTGTATCTATCTCAGGTAAATGTTCAACTTATATGCCTATCTTTTGTTTGGCTGGAAGCCACAGGTGTGGGTTCAATTCCAGACTGAGGGCAGCTAGGAGCCATAGTCTCGGATTCCACCAGGCTCTATCACACTGGCAAACCTGCCCCCCCCCCCGCAATGATTTTTACTTTTGTTCCACATTATTCTTTCTCCCTGTCTATCCAGGATCTCCTACATAGATCCCCCTCCGAGTGGTTGACAGTGGTAGCCGGTCACCATCTCGTTCTTTTGGTCTCATAGTCATATAGGTTGCAGATTGCATGGTGTTCCAGTTACAAGGACTAATTATTTCCATGAATCTTTGGTTTTCATCATTCTTCTTTGCTCTGGATGAGGAGAGACCCATTGTTGCATCTAGATGCCTGCTTGCAAGTTTTTAAGATCCCAGTCACTACTTGCCTAAGAGGAGGTGGAACAATGTTTTTTGTAGCAAATAACAACAACAACATGCCAGTTGAACTTGATGTCCCTGCAACTGTGGTCCTGAACTCACTGGTTCAACTACTCGGTCACTCTGGGTAGCTGGCTGTGACTGAGAAGTGACTACAACCTTGTCCCCTGTCAGCTCTACTATACACCTGGGAGTTATAGAACATTCGAATACACTTCTAGGACCATTGTCTGCCAGCCCTATACATGGTCTTGGGGTACACTTCCTGCTTCATAGACTTACCTCATAGTTCAGCCTGTCCACCCATCCACTCGTATACTCATGTTTGCCTTCACTGACAGCGTAGTACTGTATGTGCAAAAGGGTTCATCTTTGTTGTCTGTACCTCCCATGTACCTCTCTGTGTCTTCCTCTTCTTTAAGGCCACCATGTTGACCCCTCACATTTAGTACATTGCCCTTCTCTTCACCCATATCAATACTTATCTCTACTTTACCTATCTGTTTCCTGGCCTCCCCTCCCCTCCCCTCCCACCCCTGGTAACCAACATAGAAAACTTCCTTCCATAGATAAACCTTTCCTTGATTGTTAAAATAACGGACTAATACAATATTTGTCCTTCTGTGATTGACTTATTTCACTCAGCATAATGTCCTCCAAGTTCATCCACGTTATGTGGGGTTTTGCAGATTGTACATTATTTTTTAGGGTTGTATAGTATTCCACTGTGTGTATGTACCATAGTTTGGTTATCCGTTCCTCAGTTGATGGACACCTAGGTTGTCTCCATCTTTTGGCTGTTGTAAATAGTGCTGCGATGAACATGGGTGTGCGTGTGTCTGTTCTTGTCATGGCTCTCACTTCTTCAGGATATATACCTAGTAATGGAATGGCTGGGTCAAATGGTATTTCTAATTCCAACTTTTGAAGGAATTGCCATATTGCTTTCCACAGTGATTGTACCATTTTATGGTCCTACCAGCAGTGTACCAGAGTCCCAATCTCTCCACAACCTTGCCAACATTTGTTATTTTCTGTCTTGTTGAACTTTGCTACTACTGCTGGGGCAAGATGGTATCTCGTTGTTTTGATTTGCATCTCTCTAATGGCTAATGATCGTGAACATTTCTTCATATGTTTGTTGGCTGCTTGAATATCCTCCTTGGTGAAGTGTCTATTCATGTCTTCTCCCCATTTTTTAATCGCATTATTTACCTTTTTGTTATTGAGGTGTTGGAATTCTCTATAAATTCTAGAGGTAACTCCCTTGTCAGATATGTCATTGCCAAGTATTTTTTCCCAATCTGTAGGTTCTCTTTTGACTCTTTTGCAGAAGTCTTTGGAAGCACATAAAAATTTAATTTTTAGAAGGTCCCATTCACCTAGTTTCTCTTTTGCTGTTTGTGCATTTTGGGTTATGCTTGATAGTATATTTATGCCATATATTAAAGCCCCTAAATGTGCCCCTAGTTTTTCCTTGAGGAACTTTATAGTTTTAGGTTTCACATTTAAGTCTTTGATCCATCTGGAGTTAACTTTT